GACGCATTCTCTCCTGATGATCTCCATGCTAGAGTCCGGGATACGGAGCGTTCGACGGTGAGCAGTGCATACGGCTGTTTAGACTACGTATATCCTGGGTTCCACTTCTGCACTGGCGACTGTTCCTTGATTTTAAAACGTTCGTGTGCCTGTGACTCCCAAAATAAGTGACCAGAAATTTCTTACCCATAGCAATGCAGATCTGAATTGATCATGTGATCTTGCGTCTTTGTCCAATACGATAGGGTACGGGAAATGGAGAAACAAAGAACTATTCAAAAATGGAAGAGTCTGTGAGCTCAAGGAAGCAGGCTCAACCATGGTCCTTCCTGTATCAAATGAGAATTTTAGAAATCCAGCACAATGTGGTAAGTAGCCAATCATACGACTGTAACGTTCATGTCATTGAGTAGTGCCTGTACATAACACACGAAACCAGAAGTTATGGGTATTACACAGTGCTGTGAATTTATAAGCATGGAAAGAGAAAGAAAATAATATTACAAATAATACAACGAACGAGCTTAGACATTTGCTGTAAAAGAAACATGGATTAACGTTCTAGTTTTAGGGAGTGTTTTACGACATTTGCAGCACAGTTAGGTCATATAAGTGCCAAAGAATAGATGTATTACTAGCGACTAACATTCCAAGAAAAGAAAGAACAGAGATAAAGACAATACATATTTAATAATGCTAGAACACAAGGAATAGACCACACCAGGGCACCAGTCAAACACCCACCAAACATGCATTAAGACAGGCGTCAGCTTCAGTAGCTAAGAACTGGTAGTAGAATAATAATATTGCTCAGAACAGACTTGCGACGCCAAGGCCAATGCCATATTTGCGGGAAAAGTCACAACAGTTACGGCACAAAAGTATTATACTTTCTGAGACTGAGGCCATATAAGACAATGGCAACATAGTGCAGATCGTCAATTTTTCAATACACGCAAAGGATCACTCATCGTTTTCTAGCAATGTCACTGCCATAGAATTACAATTTTCTTTCTGCGCCGTACCTTGCTTTGAAAAATTTGAAGTTAAAAATATGTTTCACATCATGTCAAGCTTTTTCGAATGCAATTCTTTGAATATCATGACAGCGACTCCAAATAACTTGATGATTTTAATAGAGTAGATGGAATATTTGGTTTCTTTCCTCGTGGTCTTAGTAACTCAAAACAGCCAAGAATATCAGATAGAACTTTGTAATTCTAAGGTAACGATTAGTAACCTTCTATGAACCAGTCTGAGCCATATGTCATCAAGGTATTTTGCAATATCTTTAATTCTTTTCCATGTCAATTTCAACGGTGCAGATAGTCGGAGGGTGCCACTTGCACTTATCTCTTTTATACGTTGCCTATTTTGTTTCTGTCCGCCTCTTTTACTTTTTTCAGCACTAAGTGAACATTACTGAGTCTATGTGCTTCTTTTTACTCAAACAAAACAAAAAAACAAATAAGTTTCATTGGTTCTGTGCAAGACTGCGACAAATACCAAAATTGCAAAATGCCTTTGGTGCAGTCTTTCCTCCAGACATCTGTTTTATCTAGGAAGTACACTTCTTAAGTGCACCAGCACTAGAGAACAGTTACAACTCTGAATTCAATAGGTCCTTGTGATCATCAGAATTACTACTGCTTTCGTGTAGTCTGAAAACCTCTGACATATCTTCAATTTTGGGCGAACAGTACCGAAAACAAGATTTCTTTACAATTTTGCTCCAATAGATTTTCTCTCCATTTGGAAGATGTGTCTTTTATTATTTATTTCTTTTTTGGGGTCTCTTTGTTTTGAGTTTCTTTTTATTTGCTTTTAGAATCTATAAAATTTAAACCACTAAAACAGCTACAGTCAGAGATTTGTTTTTTGCTCACAATTGTATTCCTAAGTACAAAAATAGAACCAAAAAAACCACAAAACAAACAAACAACAACAACAACAGTGATGTCTGTTGTCACATTTTTTAAATTTTAAATACATTTCAGTTTCCTTAAATTTTCCGAAATTGATTTAACTAAATTAATAGATGGCTTACAGTCTGACAAACAAAGAAAACAATAACCTTCGACCCTTGCAGTTGCCCTCACATTAGACTTTTTTGAAGAGCAGGTGCTACATGATTTGTGCAATGTTCATAACGACCCATTCGTCACCAAACAACACAGAGCTAGTTGAATGACGATGTTTAAGTTTCATCTATTCAGGTGATGCTCTAAATTGTCGGGAATATAAATAGAACGATGGGGCGGACTATTACGTCATTTGGAAAAATTTGCTGACACGATTAGATAATTTGCAGGCACTAGGCTTGTCTGTTTTGTTCTCTGAATGTAAATACATACAAAGTCTCGTCCCAGCCAGCAAAAAAAGTACAGAAGTATTCTTTTCCAAGATGCTCTCAATAAAATTAAATGTCTTTTCAATGCATCATTCGTTCAGAGCCTCCTTTATTGTGGCCATTTGCGACAAAGACTCTAATAATTAAGCTTAGAATGTGAGCTTTTTTATAAGGTGTTTGTACCTGTCATCTTCCTTTTACCTTTGACTGAGACCAAACTCTCCTAAAGAAAGACAGAAAGAAAACAAAAAATGGCTGAATGAATGAGTAAATAAATGAATCAATGAATGAATAAATGAATGAATGAATGAATGAATGAATGAATGAATGAATGAATGAATGAATGAATGAATGAATGAATGAATGAAAACTCAAGAGTAAACTCATTCATTATTGAAATTTTTTCCACGAAGATGAAGAAACACACCGTGAGCAATAGAGAGAGGAGACAGACAGACAAAGAGAGAGAGAGAAAGAGAGAGAGAGAGAGAGAGAGAGAAAGAGAGACAGAGAGAGAGACAGAGAGGCAGACAGACAGAGAGAAACAGACAGACAGACAGAGACAGAGAGACAGAGAGACAGAGAGACAGGGAAAGAGAAAGGGGACGAGAAAGAGAAAGACAATGAGAACGAGAAAATTGGAGGATAAAAGAGGAGTTAAAGGAAGAATTTACGACAACGATAAAGTAGTATAGAAAAAAAAGTGAGAATAAGGGAGATATAAAAAGACAGATAGACAGAAAGACAGACAGACAGATAGATAGATAGATAGATAGATAGATAGATAGATAGATAGATAGATAGATAGATTTGATGTAAATACGTTCTTGTTTGAAACCACCGTGTGCGCAAAATTCTTCGATATACTTAACACTTGTAAACGTTGCTAATTTACTTATTAACAGTACAAACGGGAATCAAACGTCAAGTATCAGACCACAGATATCTCAACATATTAAGCTTCCATGGCCTGACAGTTCTTCTTGCGTAGAATTATTTAACATAGACTCTCGCGCGCCGAAAGGCGGGTTCAGAGCCAATTAACACTACAAGCCATTTCCAGCTTATGGCATTGATCTTATTCATTAACAGCCCCTCTGGAACAAAGAAAGAGACTGAAACTGCCCTGTATACTGAACTGCGGTCAACGCTCTAAAAAAGAAGCCAATATGATTCTCATTAACTCCTATACTGCCTCACCCGAGATTTTATAAGTAATTTGATACGGTTGTAGAGGAGTTCTAGCAGTGAAGGGGTTACTGTTACGACCCAAGTTATGATTCCTCAGAAACAATATTACCCTCTCGATATAGAAACGTCTGCCTACCACGTACACAACAGCTCCTGTCATTATGAACGGATGGTTCCAGAATATAAAAGGCTCCAAGAAAACTCGTTGATCTTTTTTGGTTGGAAGAGAACATCGAGAGGACAGGATATACGAAACAAAAATAAAAGCAGAAAGAAAGAAATCAAAGATGTAGATATAGAATAAAAAGTGCATAACATCACAATACGTTAAGATTAGGTTTATAATTTTTAAGTGCGTTGTGATAGCTCTGAATTTCATAGGACAAAGACCTGTGATCAAACAGCATTATTATAGACGGTAACTTTATAATAAAGATAGAAAGAAACACGAAAGAAAGAAAGAAATATTTTTCCAATAATAAATAAACAAATAAATAAATAAATGAATAATTAAGTAAATAAATACATAAATAAATAATTGAATAGTTTGTATAGCGTCTAAAAATCCACTAAAAGTGTGTGATCGTCAAGCGCTTTTAGTAGGTTTTTAGACGATATGCAAACTATTATCTTTTATTCAATATTTATTTATTTATTTTTATTTAAAGGTATGCTATTAAGTAGATGAAGGTAGATGAGTTAAAACTACAGATTCAATGGACATAAAAATGTACACACTGTAAAAACATAATTTGTATAATAGGCCTATTGAAAAAGTAAGGTAGGTTAAGCATGAAAAGAGGTTTTACATTGCAGTATCTTTTTTCAAAGCAACGTTCGCAATTCAATCACTGAGGGACAAGGGCCGATAAGCATGGAAACAACAGAGAATGCAATGTTTGTAGAGAACGCGACACAGGTGATCAACGGTTCCAACTCCAGCTCTCACTTCTTGACGACTACTGCATCAGGTACTTGATTTGTCTGTCTGTCTGTCTGTCTGTCTGTCTGTCTGTCTGTCTGTCTGTCTGTCTGT